TGTTACGAATCACACTGCCTTTGGAAGGAGTGCCTGACAGCATGACAAGGGACAAAGTGTTGTCCTATTTTCACAACAGCATGAAAGGATATTTTCCTTATTTATGAACAGTCTCTGTTCTCAAAGAGATCCTTCTTTGATCACCTGAGCATGATGTGAAACCTGTAAAATTACATGTTCTTATTAACCCCAAAAGACAAAGGAGTAAAAACATCATTAGGTTTGTTATATGTACTCTTATCTAAAACTTAGTCTTCTGATTCCCAGTTAAATTCACTTATCTTAACAGGGTGACCTTAGAAGCTGTGAGAGATATATGGGATGTGGACCTTGGAGCAGTTTCTTTTCCTCCACTTACCAGCTGCATCATCTCAGGCAAGTTACCAAATGTCTCTGTAACTCCATTTCCTTACCTGTAAAATGTAGTAGATTTTTAGTAATTGTGAGAATTAAGTGAGGTAATATATGTAAAATGCTTAGAATAGAACTTGCACACAGTAAGTGTATAATAAGCATTAGCTACTATATTAATCAAAATAGTGGTTCTCAAACTTTGAGGTGTATAAGAATCACCTGTCCACTCCCAGAACTTTTCATTGAGTCGGTCTTGGGTGGTGCTGCATAATTGCATTTCTGATGCTGAGGCGCTGATCTGATGACTATACTTCGAGAACTACTGAGTTAGGATGTAATTTGCATGTAAATAACAGAGATCCATAATCATAGAGGCTAAAAGAAAACAGTTTATTTGTAGAAGTAGATGTCCAGGGTTGGTATGGTGTAGACTTTTCTATCTTGTTACCTTGCCATCTGTGGATTATTGCTTCATGCACACTGTCATAGATGACTCACCATCATTGTTGAATTTCGCCAGTAGAAGAGAGAATTTGGAGAAAGGGGAAGAGAATAATACTTCTCTTTAGGGAGACAACCAAGAAATTGTACACATCCAAGGTATACATGGCCAGAACTTGAATAACCACATGTAGCTCCAATGAGAGTGAAAGAAATTGGAATTTACTCTGTAGCCACAGGTCCAGCTTAAAAACCTGGGTTCTCTTACTCAGAGAAAGGAGAACAGATATTGTGGTTCATCTATGAGCTTTGCCATTGCTACAGACTGGTTTCTACATTTTAACAACAGCAAAAAAAATTTTTTGTGGATAGGAGATTATAAATATACAACTTGATTTTTCCCTCAAATACAAGCATAACTTATTTAACTTTATATCTTTTCTCTATTTAGAGGGGTCATTTGACTGTTTCTCAGGGGAAGGATGGTCTTTTCCTGGGAGGAATAAAAATGTTCCCCCTTTTTCCTAATAATGTGGATTTTCATCATCTGCCAGATGGACCACCAAATAGGTACTATCAGGGAATACAGAAAATAGAGCTATTGGTGGGAAGGTGAAGGGAATTTGAAGCAAGAGGCCAGGGAGGCTAGCTAGTTAGGGTGGCAGAAGGAGGTGGGAACTCTACTGTGATCCTAAGCAGGAAACATTGAAGAGGGGACCTTCCATGAAGAAAATTTTGCATGATATTACTGAGAGAACTACTGTAAAGGGGCATTGTTGGGATGCCTAGGAGCCATGGTAAATCACAGCTGTCATCAGCCTACCCCCTGGTCTTCATCCAGGAACACCATATTGCCTTCATCTAGGCCCTGGGTACTTAGTTGTCTGTAGGCCTCACCATATGAATACACACTCATGTTGGTGTCTGGGCTAGGCTGTGAATCTTTCCTCTGCTGCCTTCTCGGAGTGAAAAATCCCCTACTAGTCTAAAGGAAACTCTTCAATGTTTGGGGCAGTGGTGGCATTAAAGTGGGCTAGCTCAAATCCCTGAGGTAGAAGAGGATGGAGCAGACACCCCCATTACATATGTCAGAAGCAAAGTGAGAAACCATAAAGGAAAAGATTAACCAATTTTGCTATAAAAAATGAATAACTTTGACATATTGGTAAATAAAATTCACAGATTTCAAAGATCCTTTCCAACTCTAAGAATGGATGATTCTATTGATATATTGAGGTAGTTTGTGACAATAAGTCACAAATAGTAAAAATTACGTATATTGTCTAATAAGAAGTATTGATTACACTGTTCCCACTGTTCCAAGGAGTCACTCTCATCAAAAGCTTTTGCTTACAGGGGCACCTGGGTGGCTCAGTCGGTTGAGCGACCGACTTCAGCTCAGGTCATGATCTCACGGTTTGTGAGTTTGAGCCCCGTGTTGGACTCTGTGCTGACAGCCTGGAGCCTGCTTCTGATTTTGTGTCTCCCTCTCTCTCTGCCGTTCCCCCACTAATGCTCTGTCTCTGTCTCAGAAATAAATGAACATTAAAAAAAAAATTAAAAAAGCTTTTGCTTACAAAGATGCATTAGGGTAAGAAAAAAAATGTTCTAAAATACCAGGTAAGTCTATAACAGTCAGATGTACCTAAGTGTTAAGATGGAGAAAGGATGAGGAGTGGAGAGGAGAGAGATGATGATCTTGAGCACTTCATTAACATGTTGGACTCTGAACAGCAACCTACTGAGTATACTCCATGTGTGGGAGATGAGGTGAGGAAGTCTAGAGAAGGATATTAATTTACTCTCAATAACACTGTTATTCAAGCCCATCTAACTCTAGAGCTCATGCACTTTCCACAATACCAAGCTGTCTGTCTAAAAACATGCCAAAAATGTGTGAAGATCCTTGCTTTGAAAACATTCTTTAGGGCTCAAGTCATAAAACATGGCTGGTTCTAAGATAATTGTGATATAGAACAAAGCTCATATTTCAGCAGTGTTCTCATCATTAGAGATTTCCTGCTCACTTATAGCTCAACATCCATTACTGATAAACACACACTAATAAGTGTAACATAATGGTAAAGAGCAAAAATTGTAAAGCAAGTCTGCTTTGTTTTACCCTCAGCTTTGTGACTTGTGACCTTGTGCAAGCTGTGTCTGTGTCTCTCTTTGTGCCTCAGTTCCTTCATCAATAAAATGGGGGAGAACAAACATACCTACCTGATAGAGTTTTGTGAGGATTAACTGAGTTAATAATCAATGATATTATTAGAATAATTGGGAAAATTTGAATATGGTCTGTATATTACAAAATGCTCTCATAGCAGTGTTTAGTTTCCTGAGAATGAGAATGGTATTGTGGCTGTCTAGGAGAATTTCTTATTTTTATACTAAATGCTGAAGTATAGGAGTGAAGCATCATGATGTTAAACCCTTTAATGGTTTGGCAGAGGAGTTTGTATAATGAAGAAAGGCACACAGAAATAGAAAGAGCTAATGTAAATATAGCAAAATGTTTTAACCATTGATTAATCTAGGTGAAAGTTATAATAAGGCTGTTCATGTATTAGCTTTCCAATTGTTCTAAAGGCTTAGAATTTTTCGAAATAAAGAGTTAGGAGGAGCACCTGGGTGGCTCAGTTGGTTAAGTGTTCATCTTTGCCTCAGGTCATGATCTTGCAGTTCATGAGTTCGAGCCCTGCATTGGGCTCTGTGCTGACAGCTCAGAGCCTGGAGCCTGCTTCAGATTCTGTGTCTGCTTCAGATTCTGTGTCTCTCTCTCTCTGCCCCTCCCCTGCTCATGCTCTGTCTCTCAAAAAATAAATAAACATTAAAAAAATTTTTTTAAATAAAAAAAATAAAGAAGAGACAATTAGTTGATGCATGTAATGCCTTATAACTGTTAGCTATCAGACTAAAGTCACTTTGAGGACTGGATTCTTCATTTCCATATGCCCAGTGTCTAAACATTATCTGGTCCAATAACAGGTGTTCAGTGCATCTTATAAGTGAATAAATAAAAAGATGAATGATGTTTGTATTCTTACTCCTTACCATTATCAACTTTTCTTCAGTATATTTGCTTTCAGGTTTAAAGTATGAATTGTAGTTAAGGCTTTGCATTACCAGCCCTCTTTGGTGTATGTGTTTGTATGTGTGGATGTGTGCATATGTGTGGATGTGTGTGTGTGTGTGTGTGTGTGAGAGAGAGAGAGAGAGTTTTCTACTGCATCCATTCCCTACCCCATTTAAAACCTAAATCAAATAGGAGTAGGGTTGCCAGATACTAAATAGGATATTCCATTAAATTTGAATTTTAGATAAATAATTTATTTAGTATAAATATGTCCCAAATAGTTGACAGAGGTCAAATCGTGCACGGAGCATACTTACTTCTACTAAGGAGTTTTTCATTGTTATCTGAAATTCAAATTTAACCAGGCACCCTATATTTTTGTTAAATCTGGCAACTCTAATAAAAGCCATTTCTTCTCCTGATGTGTATGGTTGACCATGCCCTCAAGCATGTCAAAATATTAGTTATGTTGATTTATCCATGATAGAATACTTCTAGTTCTTCTGAGTTTTAAAGCATAGTAGAAATAAGCTTTTATCCTTTAGCTCAGTTATTCCCCACTGGTCTCATATTTTTCAGTTCTGAATCTCTCATTTTTTCCATAATTATGATATGGAAGATTGCATTTTTTATTTATGATAAAACCTATAGGTAGAATATACATAAAGGTCACATAAAAATACATGAAGATGATAATTAAACACAATATACAGAGTTGGATAGGCAGTGTGATTAAAGAACTACATATTTTTTTATAGTGTCATTAATGCCAATACATAGAAGCACTTCTTGCATGAAAAGTATGTTTTAGCAATTAATAGTGCAAATATGTTAAAAATATTTATAGAACTACAACCTCCAAACATTTAATTGAACTCAATCTCATGGATTGGTTTACCACTTGATAAATGGCCCTGATTTATAATAACCCTTCAGTAACATACCAGGGAAAAGCAACAAGAAGCCCATTACTCACAGAAGCAATTACAGAAAATTACTTTGGAACAGTAGCACCATTCCACATTATAATATGCACATTTGTTGTATTGCACCTTCCTGAGTTGAACTTTGAAAATGGTAGACACACAAAATGCCAGAATGAATGAATTCATCCAAGGCTGGACTTTCACTGGTGGTAGTAGTAATCTTGACCACCATAGCTGTCATAGCTGCGCCCTTTATAGTAGCTGTACTCATCCTCATAGGCTCGGTAATTATCGCCACGAGGTTCTCCATTCTCATTTTCATAGACTTCATATCCATTGTCATATTCATTGGTGCCTGTTTGTTCATACTCTTCCTCATATCCAGTGGTGGTGGCTTCCCTAAATGGTCGGATGGTGGTCCCATAGAGCTCTGGTGGTGGGGTTGTAGGTTGAAATCCACCATTTGGAGAGGTTGTAGTCGTGGAGCCACCATTGTCCTGCCTTCCAGCCATTGTGGTTCCTTCTGCATTGACTTCAGTGACACTTTCTTCACCTTCTTCTCCAGTGTTTCCATCACTGCTGCCATTGCCATTTTCTACCTCTGTGCTGTTGGTGCTGGTGCTGTTTATGCCTTGTTCATTTTCATCCACTTCTTCAGTTTCTTCATTTTCTTCATCTTCCTCTTCTTCTTCGTCACTTTCCTCCTCTTTTGTAGCCTTTTTTGTATCCCCAGCCTATAAGGAAAAGTTTAAAAGGATCCAGATTTGGTGTGAAAATATAAAAACTTAAGACCATTATTTCATCCAACACAGGCTGTACCTACAGCCTTGTTTCAGATGTATTTTTGAATTGAAGCCAGTTTAACTTACAAAAGAATTGGTGAGTGTTTTAAAAATTCAGAACTAGTACCTTTGATGGGTGTTTTAGAAATTCAGAATTAGTACTTTCGTCATTGGGTTTTGATAGAGAAAATGTACTTGATAAATAAGCTTTCCTTGTGGGAGATGCTTCCCATAGCTTTGCTATTCACTTTGTCTGTCTTGGAATCCTCTTCCCTGAAATGCAGTGGCATCTTTCAGGACCTTTTATCCATTGCCAAGATGCTTGTCCTTAGTCTTCTGTTATAGTGTGGAAAGTCAGTGTAATAACATGGGAAGAGAATTTGCCTGGGAAAAGATATTTCCTTACTTGTAAACAGGGAAATTGAACCTGCTCTTGCTTTTTCAATGAGTTAATGAAGGTAATGTAGAACACCTGTGTATAGTGTCAAGCTAACCTTAGATTTCAGTAAAGAAATGAAATCAGATTTAACATTTTTGAGGAATTATTACCTTTTTGGGAAGTTGGATTGCAGCTAAACCTATGTTCCCTGTTCCAGGTGTGGTCTCCTCTCCATAGCCAGGTGTAGCAGAAAGGGTGGTGTTCTCAGCCTCAGATTCTTCATCTTCATTTTCGTCAGAATTTGCATTCTCTTCATTGTTTTCTTCTTCATTTGAAGCTTCCTGGTAAAAATATCCAGAGCAAGAAAAGTTAGTTAGTTGGAAGAAAACTCAAAATTTACTGGAGTCATGAGCCATTACTGAGAAAAATGTATTCCTCAGCCAGCTCATCACCTAATGTTAACAATTCTGCTTCCTCTTATGACATTTGCACTTCTCACTTCTTAGAACTCAACTCAGAGTTATTTCATTCTACTTACCTCACTATAGTCTGTTTTAGATATTTCTGTATTCTATTTTATCAATTCAAAAATGTGTAATAATTTCAGCATATCTGACTACATGGTATTTTATTCTACAGGCTTTAGGCTCTTAAAGTCTTACCAATCCTATTATAACATGGTAGTAAATAAATGCTTACATTTCCTGACAAATAAGCTGAGAACTTATACCTGTTATTCCTTATAGCAGCCGTGTAAGGTAGGATTATTGTTCTCTTTAGAAATGGCATTTAGAAAGGGAAAGTGAGGGACGCCTGGGTGGCTCAGTCAGTTAAGCGTCCAACTTTGGCTTAGGTCACGATCTCACAGTTTGTGAGTTTGAGCCCCGCGTCGGGCTCTGTGCTGACAGCTCAGAGTCTGGAGCCTGCTTCAGATTCTGTGTCTCCCTCTCTCTCTGCCCCTCCCCTGCTCATGTTCTGTCTGTCTCTGTCTCTCAATAATAAACAAACATTAAAAAAAAATTGGAAAGGGAAAGTGAGCTCAGAAAAGCTAAATAACTTGCTTAAGGTCTTATGCATGAAGAAAACAACAAAACCCAGCCCTTTCTAATGCACTATGATGTTTTTGTTGAGGAAGAGGATTTATGTGAATTGTTCACACTACACCTAGGATATTTTTTCAGAAAGGAATTTTTATGGAAATCCCCCTCTTCAAACAAATTGATTGCATTTCTTATTTACTACCAAAAAGAAGCGAATAGATTTCATTTGCTTTCAAGTGTATTTAGAGAAAAGAACCATATTTAATTCAAAATTTATCTGGAAGTATATAAGCCAATTTTGTGTTGTATGCAGTATTCAGAAGATTTTAGACATTTGACATACAATCAGTTTTTCTGTGCAGTGAAGAAACTAAACACTCCAAGAAATTTTTAGTGGTTATATTATGTTATTGCATGATTTTTTTAAAAAAATAAACACTCCTCAAATGAATGTTTATTATAATCTTACTAATCTTACTATATAACCTTATTGAACATTTTATTCTTTGCCTTTATGTTGTTAGGCAGTTATTTGTTAATTGAGTTAATCTCCTGATGTGATTCATAGCTAATATTAAAAGTCAGGGATTCAGGGGAGCCTGGGTGGCTCAGTCAGTTAAGCATCCAACTTGAGCTCAGGTCATGATCTCACAGTTCGTGGGTTCGAGCCGCACACAGGCTCTGCCGCACACAGCTCAGAGCCTGGAGCCTACTTCGGATTCTCTCTCTCTCTCTCTCTCTCTCTCTCTCTCAAAAATAAATAAATGTTAAAAAAAGTCAGGAATTCATACAGAGAGTTTATTTACTTTAAGTACTGGAAGATTGAATTCATTTCAGTGTATCTAATGTCTTTAGATGATGACATTAAGATAAGTTTTAAGACTTTAAAACATGGATAAAGAAGATGTGATGTGCACACGCACACACACACACACACACACACACACACACACACACTCAGCTATGAAAAAGAATCAAATCTTGCCATTTGCAATAATATGAATGGAGCTAGAGAGTATTATGCCAACTGAAATAAGTCAGTCAGAGAAAGACAAATATCATATGATTTCACTCATATGTTGAATTTCAGAAACAAACCAGCACGGGGGAAAAAAAGAGAGAGAGAGGCAACCCAAGAAACAGACTCTTAACCATAGAGAAGAAACTGATGATTACCAGGGGAGAGAGTGGTGAGGGGATGGGTTATATAGGTGACTGAGATTAAGGAGTGCACTTGTAATGAGCATCTGGTGTTGTATGGAAGTATTGAATCAGTATATTATATACCTGAAACTGATATTACTCTGTATATTAACTAATTGGAATTTAAATAAACACTTAAAAAAAGATAATGCACAGATTTCAAAACAAAGTGGTAGAAGAAAAAAACGTTTATATAAAGAAAAAAAGTAAACACAACCCAGGTTTAGCTTGCCTTATTACTGAAACAGAGTGGCTAAAGAAGAATATGTTTGTTTCATCAAATTTGTAAATTCCGATGTTTCAATAAACTCTTGGGGCTACTAGAGTCCACCCCTAAATAGTCTTTAAGCCAATTGTGTCAAATATCCCACAAACACCATACTGTTTATTTATTCATGTTTATGCTTTATTTCAACAGACTAAATCTTTCAGGGCAGGAGGAGGAAAGATTCTTAGAGTAGAACATATAATCTGGGTCCTGTACCATCTTTTTACACGTGGAAAACCTGAGGTCCAATGAGATAAATGACTCACATGAGGTCAAATAGATGGTGGTTCACTAGTGGCAAGGTCATGAGTAAAGATTCAGACTCTCAAATCATGAAGTTCTACATTTTCTCCTATAATGCCCTTTCTTTTCTAGATACTTTTTTTTTTAAAATATAATTTATTGTCAAATTGGCTAATATACAGTGTGTACAGTGTGCTCTTGGTTTTGGGGGTAGATTCCCGTGATAGATACTTTCTTTAAGGATATGCTGTTGCAGTGAATTAAGAAGGAAAACAGGTCAGTCTGTTGATGGGTATTAAGCTTCAAATATCTTTTTGAATAGAAAAATTAGTATTAATGTTTTAAAACTGTTATTAACCCACTAGACTGGCTAAAATGGCTGAAAGACAACTGTTGGTGAGAACGTGGAGTAACTGATATACTAATAGAGGGAGATCACAGTGCATTTGCTTTGGTTACATCTACTTAGGCTGAACATATGCATACCTTTTGGCCTGCAGAAATAGATGCATGTGTTCACCAGGAGTACTAGAATGTTCATAGCAGCTCTCTTTGGTATAGCCCAAACTTGGAAACTGCCCCAAAGGCCCATCAACAAAAGCATAATACATTGTGGTATATTCACTTCATAAGATACTCACAATGAGAATGAATGACTTAGAGCTGTAGAACGATATGGATTAACTTTTGAAGTTGGGAGTAGAAGACGCCACGCAAAAAAAGAGTATATGATATATGATTCCATTTTTATAATATGCAAAAATGGGTGAAAACTGTTAGGATTCAAAATAACAGTTGCTTATGGTGGGTTTGGTTAATGAGTAAAATGGAACACAGAGCATATGCTGCTTTTTGATATGGGTGCTTTTTGAAACTGTTCAATTTCTGAAATTTCAACTATCTGTATACATATAATTGTGTTGTATATATTATATTTTTATAAAGTTTTTTTTTAAAGTGAGGCTGAATAGTTTAGAAATGGAAAAAAAAAACTGTGATCATCATCAAATAGAAAATATGCCTCAGCACCCTCTAATGTGAATACCATTCCTGGAGACTATGTATTTAACCTGCATTGCCAATGAAATTTTAGGGAAGAAATGAGGAAAAAGGAAGTTCTAGAATCTCTTCATGATAGAAGCCTTTAGATTTATGTATCCACTTTTCTATGATCACTTTTAATGAATGATGTTTGGAGTATTTATTCCTCTGAAGTTTTCAAAACTAAACCACAAATATTTTTGGGGCACCGTATATCGTAGAAGAAACTGTGCTAAGCAGTGTGAGGAGCTATAAGGAGGATACAGTCTGTTTTTCCCCAAACTGGATATGAAACCTATGGTCTCTTGCCCTCTGGGTCATTAGGAGTTTGCAGGTAAGTTTTGGGAGGATAGTAAATGTTCAGAGATTGTTGACAAAATTTTGAGCATGTGTGATTTCATCATAGTTTTTAAACCTTACTGTCCTCTATCCTCAACCTCCATCATAACAAATGAAGAACCATTGCCAAAAGGTATGCAGTCTAATTGGGAAATCTACCTGGCAAAGCAATTTTGTGATCACCGTACAGCAAAGAGCTGTAGTTAAATAGATTACCCCAGCTTAGTTCTTGTGTAAGATTACTATATGGAACTCCTGGCAAAATTTTGTGGGATTTAGTAGGTGGCATTTTTCCTGGTACTGGCTTGGTATTCTTGTAAGGTCTTCCCTTAAGCTATTAGGGTAAATTATAGTACTGGAAATGATACTTTTATGGTTAAAAAAATAAAATCAAACTAATTATTTGTCACTTTTAAAGTTCCCATACCATTTTGTTTTCAAGATAGCAGATGTTTATCCATGATCCATTTTTGACTGTCATTGCCCCTTCATAAATAGCACTTAAGAATACCTGAATTTAGAAGGTCCCCAAAGCAGTGGATAGCTATAATTGACTATCCAGGAAAATGTACCTAATTAGTACGTTTTCTTGAGCAAGAGTGTCAGTTATAAACAGGTTAGTACAATTTCCAAGGTATACAGATTTATTTTAGCTGTGAACTACACTAATTTGAGGTCCTATGGAGGACTATGTATAGAATATGTAGTACTATATGTACTTATACATCTTGAGTATTTGCCTTTATGTAAGACCATAAATTTTATTTTTAGACAAAATGACATATGAAATTCCCATTTAAAAGAATAACCCTACTTGGTGGGTCAAGAAAAACAGATGAATCATAATAATATTGTAGAGGATATAAGATTAGCTTTTCATATATACCCACTTAGTAAGTTGAGCTTAAGTTCAGTCCTTAAAACAAGTATTGCACTGAGTTTAGGTACTTGTCTTTTACTATCCTGCACTATCCACCTAAATATAAATGATACTCCCTTTTCTTTTTATCAGAATGTACATTTCTTCCAACTTATAATGGAGACATTTTTGTTTTTGTGCACCACTTATAGGTAACTTGAACGCCAAATGCAGTAGCATTTTAAACAGGTCATTTTAGTTTATTCTAATTTAAATAATATTCTCCTTGTCCAAAATAGAAGACTGTGGGTAGTTGGTAAACTGGCAATGGCTTGTTTGCTAAGTCCAGACTACAGTAGACTAGTTTCCTATTTGTTTTCATGCTGCCTGGTTTGTTTTGAAAAATCCTGCAGAAATTCCTTACCTCTTCTTCTTCCTCCTCTTCTGAACTGTCACCGTCTCCATTTTCTTCAGATGAGTCACTACTGCTCTAAAAAAAAAAAATATATATATATATATATGAATTCATACATATATGAATATATGGGTACATATATGGGTACACATACCTTCAACACAAAAGGAGATTTCCTGCTGATTGAATTAAGGTAAAATATTCACAAATATTTACTCAAACTAATTAGTATTGCCATCTTGATTTATTTCTCATGTGAATTTAGTTCTCATGTGAATCTGAGAAAAAGATATGAAGAGATTGGGAATATATAAAATGAGGTTGGAGAGAAACAGGTGCTTTGTAATGATCAAGATATGAAATGAGGTAGGCATTTCAACCCCCAAAAGCATAGGAAATATGTTAAAACATTTTGTATATAAAAACTAGAACAATGAATCATGGAATTGCCTATGTCTGCAAGGACAAGATGATTATCTGATTCAATTTATTTTACAGAGAAGGAATCAAGCCCAGAGCTGTTTTGATTTCTCCAACAGTTTGAGGCAAATGAACTAACACACAGATCACATTGTTTTATTTCCTTTATAAAATATAAATGAAATGATGATTAGGGTTGTTATGAAATAAAAGTTGTTACTGAATGATTCTCTTAAATAATGAGCTCTCCTGATGAATTTAAATTAGAATTTGACTTGAAATTAAATTTGCATATAATTTTTAGTATCTTTCAGTCTAATTAAAGCTAATCCATAAAATAAGCCTCCCTCTATATGTAAATGAGATTTTATATATATGAGGTAAAAATTATATAAGAGCAAAATTAATTCACTTCATTTAGGAAAATTACAGAGTGTGGTGCCTCTAAAGTGCTCAATATTGAATGAGAACATTTTAAACCAAGGAGTCTGTATATAAAAATATAATTATAAGTTAATGAGCTTTGCTACTTTTTAAGAGGAAATATAAACCTAAACATCTCTTACCGAGACTTTAAAACAGAGGAGACTTTTTATCTTCCAATGATAAATTGAATTTTCCCTCTTTTTCTGCAACTACCCCTAATGGCACCAGGTAGATAAATGGATACCCAACTTAAGATTCTGTCATTTTTAAAAAAAAATTTTTAATGTTTATTTATTTTGGAGAGAGAGTCAGAGCGTGAGTGGGCGAGGGGCAGGGAGAGAGGGAGACACAGAATCCAAAGCAGGCTCCAGGCTCTGACCTGTCAGCACAGAACCCAACGCAGGGCTTGAACCCATGAACTGTGAGATCATGACTTGAGCCGAAATCCGGCACTTAACCGACTGAGCCACCCAGGTGCCCCAAGATTCTGTCATTATCTGCCCTGAAAATCTTAGTTTTGATTCTGATGACCCAATTAAGCACTGTGGGTCTTAGAAAACAGAGCTGCAGAAGAACCTCAGGATTAGGGATCAGATATGAGGAAGCACTCATGTGTCAGTCCTGCTCAGGGCTGTCCCTGTATGGCTCATTCTTCACGTGGCCATGCCATCCACCCAAGAAAAGAGAATTATTTGTCCTCTTGAGCCAAGAATAACTAACCTTGGGTGGAAAAGAGAATAATTACATCTGCTCTTCCACTACCATTACCTTAAGGGTTGTGCTTTCCTAGCCCAGAGGGTGAACAAAACATAATATCACATGTAAACTATTTCTGTTTGTTAGTTAATAGAGAGGGCAGCATATTTCTGCAATGTATTTTGTCTCAGTGGGAGTGTTTGAATCTTTTTATAGGTTTCCTCACCTCTAGCCTTCTTGCTATCCCAACCACTCACTCTTCAGTTAGTGTCTGCAGTGAGAACAATTTTAAAACTTCATGAAATCCCCTGAAACCTTGGCATTTTCTTTTTTCCTTTCTTTCATTTATGCTTTATTTCCAGTTTGTAACTAAGTCATATTCTTCTGGAAGTCAAATATATATATGACACATATATGTATGTATGTATATTTTACCATTACTCCTTTCAGCTTCTATCACTCCCATTTATTCAATCCCCAAATTACATTTCAGACATTGTTTTGAGAATGAGGATAGTAGTAAGAGATGAAGTTGGAAACATAGGCAGTCTCCCTGTGTCAAGCACTGTGATAGCTAAGATAAGTCCAATAAAAGAAATATAAAGTTTCTGCCCTCTAAGAATTCACACACAATTCAAATAATATTTGAATCCTGAAAGAAACAGTTTCCTCAATTAAAAATGCTTAGGGTATTAAGCTTATTTATACTTCCATCTCTATAGCTAAGCGGATATGACATATTTCATGGAAGTTGGTATTTTAGAAATGATTATATATAAACACATATTTGTTTGATTAAAACATTAATTTCAAAGCCGGTACAGCCAGTGCATTTTGTGATGACAATCTGGGCACCAAATACTTGATAGACTTAAGAGAATAAATAATATAGAGCTATGGAAAATATATAAGTAGACATGTAAGGGAGAAAACTCTGGGAATCAAACTTTGCAAAGTAGGAGAATAGATCATAAATACTAGGTCAGACTGATGGATTAGGGCATACATTTTATTGGATACTTTTTAAATACAACTATTTTACAAATTCTACATTATTTGAGATGAACTTATCTGTATATAATTTCTCTAAATTTTTTATATTAAAGATCTACCTAAAGATCTTTGAACTTTGAATTTATCAAGAATGAAAAATATAACCTCTCCTAATATCTTTTCGCTATAGATATTTTAATTGGATCACATTTATATTTCTACAAAAATTGATAGTTGGGAATATCTCTTAAGTACTTGATATTTTAGAAAAATTGAGGAGCTATTCAGAAATTTAAATTTATTACCATTTCCATTGAGTTTAAAAAAGAGAATGAAGCACACATTTAAATGAGCAGTGTTTATTTGTGGGCCTGAGGTATACCAAAGAATGGAAGGCAGTTCTGAAAACCCACAACTCTTGTATCATCTATGCTCATATTTCTGTGGCCACACACATTCCATAATTATTGTGGTGCTATAAATACTTTAAGATTATCATTTCCTATCATTGTATGATTTGGAAATGGGTTAGCCCAACATATGGTAGGATGCTCTGCCAAGCCACAGTGCTGAGGCATCATTTTCAGCATCTTGACTGCTCTTAGTGTCCCAGGAATCCTGGGTCAGATGTGCATAATTGGTGCCCTGAACCCAAACCGTATAGTAATAAAAATAGCACAATTCTGGTTTGTCAAATATTTTAAATCAATACCACACCTCCAGTTTTCAAAGGCCTTTTTCGCCGGTAACCCATAAAAAGAGAAATTCTTATTTTTAGTATTTGTTATTTTCCTTTTTGTTTACAAGTTCTAAGGATGTTTTTCTCACAAGCTTTTAGTTTACTTCATGAATTTCTCTCTTTCCTCTGCAGTTTTTGAACCATGCTTCCGTTATAGCTAAGCTTCAATACTTGACATACTGCTCTAGTGACCAACACAGGTCAGAGGTTCAGAAAATCCTCAGCAATCACGAATGTTATTTTAAATTGTCTCTGCTGTTTATGAAATCAATTTTTTCCTTACCAATTAAAGGACTCTAAATTATTAGGTCTAAAACAGCTGTATGACAGTATTGACTCAACTATAGTATGACAGTTAGTGGCCTTATCACTGTCTTAATTGTCAACAACCGGTAAAGTTGTCCATTTTGTCAGTGTTAGCCAAAATACCTGAACTCTATGTACCAAGGTATTTGCTTTTATTATATCATTCTAGACTGGGCCCAAATGGTTTTATTCTCTGTGTGTATATCTCTGCTTTAAAAGAGAACTTAGGAATAAGTTGTTTTGTATTAAAAACAAACTTTTTGTAGTAAGTCTTTCTGGCTGAATTTTAGTGAGAGTTGAATTTTGGCATTTTGTAGTTAAATTTGATTACCTTTAAATTATAATGGGTGAGAAAGAAAATTAATTTTTATACTTACCTGAACTGGAAATCGTTTTAGAGGAGGATAAAAGTAGGCATTCTTGTAAAGGTAATATCGTGGCCTGTACTTAAAGACCTGCATAAACAGAATAAATAATATGTTCATGTTTAATATGCAATAAATCTAGAGTAAGTATAGTCAGACCAAGAAAGTATGCTAAAATTAATTACCCCATTTTCTTCAGAATCCTCTAATTTGGCTCTTCGATGCAAATTTTTCATCTGTTTAAGAGAACATTTAATCATTATATACATGAAAAGACAAAAATGGAAATAACTATAGGTTTTTAATACAGAACTTACTGAGAAAGCACAGGCCATTCCCAAAATGCTGAGCAAAATTAAAGCAGTCTTCATTTTGGTGAATGCTTCTGGAATTAATGAAGTGGTAAAGTTAGTATATATTAAAACTAAGAGTATAACTTTTTTTTACTCATACTAGAAGAACTATTTAATTGGTTTTTGTGTCTGTCCAGTTACAGTTTTGACTAAGACCAAATTTCTGGCTTTTATTTCAAAATTGTTCCTCTTTGTTTTTAAGTGGTAGAAAACTGACTTTGTTTAAATAATCTTGAATTCCATATTTGGTTTTATCTATCTACCTATCTATTTGTTTTAAATTTTATTTCTTTTGAGAGAGAGAGAAGGAGTAGGGGAGGGGCAGAGAAAGAGGGAGAGAGAGAATGCCCAGCTCATGGGACATGGGGGCTCAGTCTCATGACTGTGAGATCATGACCTGAACTGATATCAAGAGTCAGATTCTTTCTTAACTGACAGAGGCACCTAGGAGCCCTCCATATTTGATTTTAACCTATCTGCTGTGATTTGTCAGTGGCAGACCATTTCATTACTGTAAGGGGCTTGAATGCTTAGTGTACTTCACATTGAGCAAAGAGGCTTCCTAATATCATTGACATAGGAATGTCAGCTAAGGAATTGTTAGTATATGATCTGTTTTGTTTATAATTAAAAACTAAGTAAAAATTGAATACATTTATATGATTGCTTTTACATCAGTGATTGTACAATGGGTTTTGAACTATGAGTTTTTTTTTAACATGAGAAATAGGAACTGTTTTCCTGTGGTTACCTTAGAGAAAAAAACATTCTTTTTTTTTCAGTGTATGAAATCCATAATATGTGAAATACTATTCTCATAGCATGTAGCACCACACAGCCGTGTCTAAGAGTGATTCTATGGGAAGAGCTCATCAGACTTTCACTTTGGGATATCAGGGGAAAATTTCCTCAAATTAGGTTGTTCTCCAGCTCCATTTAAGCTTTCCATCACTAGTGCGTGAGACTATCACAGGATGGATCAAGGGCTCTTCAGGGTCAGGGCAATAGACATCATGGAGACGTCAATGCTATGGAAGGATTGATTCTGAAATGCAACTCTCAGAATGGGAATAGTTCCCAAACAGTCCTGGGGTTTGCAGTCATACAGAGATCTCACTTCTACATAGATTCCTCATAAGTAAAAAGAGAGGGATAGTGAAATCATATCCTACTTTAGTTTTATTCTATTTGATAAAATCCTACTTTAATAGAGGTTGAATAAACTTAGCTGAAAGTCTACTAATACCCATCCACTTGCACTGACATATACATTTAACTGAGAGTGCTTAAGTGAGAGTGGCAGCTTTGGCAACATTTTAGAAGCAATATGTAATGGTGGTGGCAATTTCCCCATAAACACTTTTGGAAAAGTAATATTTAAAATGTATGAAATCCATGTATTCTGTATTCTGAAGTTTGATTTTGCATTTTGTCATTAGCCAGAATTTATGGCATCCTTACTGAGTGTCTGACACTAAAACATTACACAGAATAAGACTTAACTTGAAGAAGGTGTCTTGGGTCCTAAGTCACACTCGATTTGTGGCAGACTGGGTCTTCTGATTTTGATGCCTATATACTTCCTCATAGTTCTGTCTAATTTTAGTAAAATTCTTAGTGACCACTCCACGATAAAGAGGCTTTGCCCCAAAGGGGGCCTATCTGTATAAGATGTTTTTATTGCTATTGGGGTGCTTAAGTAATACTTCAAACTTTTGTCACCCATGGTCAGACTCACCGGCAAGTGGGAAGATTATTACTCTGTAGCTTTATGAAAAGAGTTGGAATATTTATAATGTCATAAAGAACTTAAAACTTAAGTATATATAACTGTATACAGGGTTTTGATTACATAAATTTCTCATAACAAAGCATAAAAACAACTAGATGAAAACATAGTAGGAATAGTATAAAAAGAACCAAGTGATTCATGTAGGCAGCAATTGGCTGCCTACATAAATTTCATTTTATTTACTTTATGATTCATAAAAAACAAAGACCTCTATAGTGACCACTACTAACCCAGACAACAATTCAAACATTCTTAAAGGATAGTTTTGAAAATCTAATTATAAGTTTTCATTGGGAAGAGTATGATAAACTACCAGCATTATTTATTTCTCTAGTGTGATGTATTTTTCCATACTGATTTTAGAGATACGGGATATTAACACTTGGAAACCAGATATATAACATATTGAAAAGATATTGTATGTAATTGAAGTATAGGCATAATTTATGGAGAAGTCTGCCTACATTGAGGCAGATTTAGAAGTGAAAAATAGTATTTCAGTCAGCTTATCTTGAATACATCAGAACGAGGAAACAGTTATTTGTGAGATGGAGAGATAGAAAGTAGTTTTATAGTTTACGTGCACAATATTAAAAACTTATTTACATGCATAGGTTAATAAATTTAACCTTTTGGAAAGAACCTAAAATCTGAGGTACTAGTTTAATGAGAAGCCAGTGTTAAATTACATACAAATTACCTTCTATACAGTGCAGTAGCATCAGCATTTAAATAAAAAAATTCAAAGCCACGTCCAGAGATCTAAAATGTGGAGTGTTCGATTTTAAGAAAATGAAGTCGTCATATTAAATCTTACCCTTTTGCAGTTCTGGAGTGAGGAGACAGGCTCACAGGAGTGAGTGACACAGATTGAATATTTCCTCTGCTCTCTCACTCACTCATTTGCTTACTGTGACTGGCTATAAACTCTTCCTTGCCTTCTAACAGCCAATCACTGTCAGGGGCAAGTGATGTCAGAATGTGGATTCTCACCAGAAAACCCCCAAACTTCAACACTTTTTCAAGACACGGGCTCAGTTAAATAAACATGAAATGTGGTTCTAGTGCCAAGAGGTTTGCATTGTGGAATTTAATTGAAGGTTAAGATGAAGATGAATAGTTTGAGTTCTGAATATATATAATAATACACTAGATATGAATTAAAATAAATAGCAAAAGATTTAACCATTTAAAAATTTTATAATCATACAAGTTTTCAGTATGTTGAAAGGAAAGGAAACTTATTGTCATCAGATACAATCCTGTATTATTAATTTAGTAAAAAAATCAAATAATAAAGTGAAGGAGCTGATGAACAGTTAATATTTTAATATCAATATATTTTTTCTAAAATATGTTTGACTCATAAATTAAAATTGATATAATTAAAAACAACCCCATAAATTTTGTTCAGTTTACCAAACCTTGAATTATTGAGCTTTCCACTGAACCAGGACAGTGGAGAGCCAGTGTTCTAGGACGTGAAGAGCCAAATATAAAAAAGATCTGGTCCCTGTCTAAAATTTACACAGTTTCATAGAGAGACAGACTTATAGCTGTAAAACACAACAATGAAAATATCTACAAGATTCAGAGATCAGAATAGGAATTTGCTAGGTTATCAATAAGGGAGAGGTTATCAATAAAGAAAAGGAAAGCATTCTTAGGAATAGATTTAAAGGATACAGAAATGAATGAACATAATTACACCAAAACTGTCTAATATTTACTGAGTGCTCTCATGCTATTTCTGTGCTGTTTCAGTCATCCCTCACACATACAGAAAATAATTCAGTTAGATTATCCCATTCTATGAGTGAGGTAAGTGAGGCACAGAGATGGTATGTCCTGGGTTGCGTGGCTAGAAAATGGGGGAATATAGAGATCAAAGTCAAGTCTATTTCTAGAGTCTACTTTTAATCACTATAGATCCTTGTTGGCACATTCAGAAGGCTTCAGTGATTCAATAAACTGGAATATAGTGAGTAGAAGTCATGAAGATGAGGGTGGTTGAATAGACAAAGACCAGATGATGGAGGGGACTCTAGGTTGCACTAAGGAGTATGGATTCCACTGTGGAAAAGAAAATATCAAAGGGTTAACGCAGATAAATAATAGATTTGTAACTTAGAAAAATCTTTTGTTGACAAGGCAGATCTGGGTTGAGGAAAACAAGATAGTTAGGGAGGAGTGGGGCTCCAAGAAACTTTTCTAGTGATTCAGGAAGTCAGTGACAAAGGTCTGAACTAAAGCAGGGGCCATGGGGGTGGAGAGGATGGAACAAATGAGAGAGATGTCAAATAGATAAAATCGATAGGACTTAGTGAAAGTAAGAGAAGTGAAGAAGCCTAGGATGATTTCTGAACTTACGCCTTGGGTAATTTTGTGAGTGGCGGGACCATATCTCATATCATACCTAGCAGAGTAATTGGTATATTATAATCATTCAGTGAGATGTTAACAGCTTATGATATAATGAAAGGAGTAGAGAACTGGGAATGAAAAGACTGGGGGTTTGTTCTTGATTTTACCACTGTGTGAAACACTTGACTACAATGAGGCTTCAATTTAATCCATTTTTTAAAAATAGGGCAATTTTGGGGTGCCTGGGTGGCTCAGTTGGTTAAGCGTCCGACTTCAGCTCAGGTCACGCTCTCGCGGTCCGTGAGTTCCAGCCCCGCGTCAGGCTCTGGGCTGATGGCTCAGAGCCTGGAGCCTGCTTCCGATTCTGTGTCTTCCTCTCTCTCTGTCCCTCCCCTGCTCATGCTCTCTCTCTCTCTGTCCCAAAAATAAATAAACGTTAAAAAAAACAATAGGGCAATTTTCAGCCAAAAATGAACCAGTCACTGTGTGCCTCTATCACCTGTGAAGCATTCTTGCCAAATAAATGGACTTGAATCTGATGAAGCCTCTCTATGTACCAGGTGAGAGAATATACTAGGCACAAAAGAATATGTAAAATGACACCACTGGGGTGTATTTAGCAAAATCCAGAATGTGGGAAACGTTATAGGACATATTACCGGGTTTATATTTTATTAGCAAGGAAAATTTTAACAGAAGAAAGGGAAAACTATAGATAAAAAAGACTTCAGAGTCATATCTAGAGAAATTATGAAATAATTGGAGAAATGTTGAATGCTCACCATTTTATGGTATTATAAAATTATTATTAATTTGGGGGGAATTGTATTCTTTTTTTAGAAAAAAGTCTAATTTCTATTGA